ACCAGCCGTTGTAATGTCAGCAGAGGATGATGTGACGTGGCCTTGTTGTAGACCAGCTGTTTTAATGTCAGCAGAGGATGATATGACGAGGCCCTGTTGTAGACCAGCCGTTGTAATGTCAGCAGAGGATGATATGACGTGGCCCTGTTGTAGACCAGCCGTTGTGCTGTCAGCAGGTGATCAGCATCCAGGACAACGACAGCTTGGCAGCTCACGTCGCTGCAGAGTTCGGCGCCGATCTCCTCATCCTGATGACCGACGTCGACGGCATCTACACGCTGCCGCCCGGGCAGGAAGGATCGCGCTTGCTGCACACCTACTGCCCCTCGCTGAACGGGGTCACCTTCGGAGGCAAGTCCCGCGTAGGACTGGGCGGCATGGAGAGCAAGGTAGGTGAACCGGAGTTGTAAGAACAGTGTATTAACCGAATATTCTGTTTTAGAGCGTTGTATTCATTAAAATGATAATTTATATAAGTTCTGTCACAATTATTCAAATGTATAAGAAAATATATTAAATATGGTTTAATTTTCTAAAAATAAGCAAGAGGACCTAATACACAAGTGTCTTTTATCACAATTATCTTTGAAAAATAAATGTAGGCATCTAATGAAACACTTAATACTCAGACATAAACGTGATCTAAATGATCTGTCCAGGTCAAAGCCGCAAGCTGGGCTCTTAAGAAGGGAGTCTCGGTGATTATCTGCAATGGGACGGAAGAGAATGCCGTCAGCAGGATCATTCAGGGTAAAAGGGTAGGAACCTTTTTCACCGAGCAAAAGCATCACGCTGTGCCGGTGGAGACACTGGCAATCAACGGTAAGCTGCACTGCCTGGCCTCGGCGACTGGGCCCCCGACTTAACGGCCTTGCCGCACAGTGCGCAAGAGCAGCCGTACTCTGCAGTCCTTGTCGGCTGACGAACGGGCCACGGCCATCTCCACTCTAGCCGACCTCCTGGAATCTAGGACGTCTCAGATCCTAGAAGCCAACAGCCGCGACCTTAAGCTGGCCGAGGAGTCAGGTAAGTGAACTTAGTGGTCAGGTATAGAAGTCCGGTGTTCATCAAGTGGACTTTCAGGTTTAGAGCCTGCACTGCGAGCCCGCCTGGCACTGACTCCTTCCAAGCTGCGGTCCCTGGCTGATGGACTTCGCCAGATCTCATCTGGATCCCGCCACCTTCTAGGCCGAGTCCTGCGGCGGACGCGCGTTTCCAACAACTTGGTACTGGAGCAGATCACCGTCCCCATCGGCGTGCTGCTGGTGATCTTCGAGTCCCGGCCCGATTGTCTGCCCCAGGTGGCCGCTCTCGCCATCAGCTCCGGCAACGGGCTGCTGCTCAAGGGCGGCAAGGAAGCGGCCTACTCCAACCAGGCTCTTTATGATCTTGTGAGAGAGGCTCTTCGGCCTTTCGAAGTCGAAGATGCCATCGCTCTGGTAAGAATAACATTTCTGCATTATTTGGGCTTCTTTTATCTTATTTCATTTCGTTGCAATATAAATATTCAGTGATTCAATTTATTGCTATGGAATTTCGCAGTAGTTTGAAGAATTTGATAAGTAATAACCTTAAAATCGATAAAGACATATTGCTAGTGCCCCGTGAACTTTCTGCACATTTGACGCTAGAGCTCCGCGAATTGTTGAATCTTTCTGTCGAATTGATGAGTGGATATTATTACAATAAATATAGAGGAACAACGGAGGTATAATTCTTGCCTGCAATCTTTGCGTGAATATCACAGTTATCATTGCTCAGTTGATATTAGGAAAGAGCACTATTGCATGTAGAACACGGGTCAATCCAAACATACAAGTCAATATAACGGATATTTTACAAGTGAACAGTGTCAATTTGTCCAATTACACGGTTCAAGATGGCCAAAATTTGTCGCAGCTCGGAACATTTATCTCGAGATTGCCAATTAGTTGTATGAGGTCTACGCTGTCATTAACAGCTGTAGGATTTCCATAGGAGACTCTTGTGTTCGAATATTTGTCTCTTTAAAAATGCTTCAATATTGTCTTTATCGGTGAGAAACCCTCTCTCTTGGGCTTCGGGGTTATGAGATGTCGAGAGGACGATGAAGGACACCAAGCTACGCTCATTGGATCTTGGTAACCACAAGAAGAGAGTTTTTATTTTGAAGATCATTTGTTGGTTGTAGGTTGATTCGGAGAAAAACACAGCCAGAAGTAGAACTAGGATTCAAAGTAATCGTTCTCCTGAGGAGAGTGACACTGAAATGTCGGGAGTTGAAACCACAAGAAGAGAGAGTGTCACCTCTCATAACTTCAAAATAACATTTACAATACCAATGATGCCGTCTCTGCACGGTACTTTGGATATCCATTCAGAATGTTTATAGAATTCCTCCTCCTGTTAATTGATGATAATTTATTTGAAGAATAACACCTACGGCCATGTGAATCTACACTGAATCATACCCCAAGTTGCCTTGTGATATTTCCATCATGACTAGGCAATGAGGTTTCACTCTTTTCCTCTCCGTTTTAACAAAACAAAACAACAAAAAGTTTTTATTTCCACATAGGTTTTTATATAAATATTTATGTACAATATTTTATACTTATAGAAAATTATATGCATAACAAAACATATTTTTTAAACCTTTTTAATTTTATATATAAGGTATGAATAATCAAAGGTATACATGAACATAATAATTTTGCTGGCTCTGAATATAAATTGATTAGCAATGTTATTTTGAGCAATGTATTTTATGTTCAAAGAGCACATTCTCCATTAAATAATGCCAATGATTGCTCATTTTCATATTTTATTCGCCAATTTTACAAAATGAGAACCTCGGATTATCTGCACATCAGCTTTCAACAAAATCAAATTAGCAAAGCTGTGTATCCAGATTTCCGATGTTATAATTGAGTCTCCATAAACTGAGAGATGCTGACGTGGCGCAGGTCAGCAGCCGGGAGGACGTGGACGAACTGCTGCAGCTCGAGGGCAAGGTCGACCTCGTCATCCCGCGGGGCAGCGGACAACTTGTCCGTCACATCCAGGAGCAGGCGCGCGGCGTGCCAGTCATGGGCCACAGCGAGGGCGTCTGCCACGTCTACGTCGACCAGTCGGCTGACCTGAAGAAGGCCCTGCAAATCGGTAGGTCTCACCTCCAGTTATCATTTTCTCAAAACTAAACCTCGAGTTTGGTGCAGTGAAGGATTCCAAGTGTGACTACCCTGCTGCTTGCAATGCCATGGAAACCCTTCTACTCCACAAGAATCTGGTTGACGGACAGTTCTTCGTGGATCTCTGCAAGATGCTGAAGACGGAAGGGGTGGGTACAAAGGTTATCAGACTAAAATGACGTAACAGGTTGGAATATATTTTGTAGGTGAATATCAATGCTGGGCCGCGGCTCTCCAAGATGCTCACGTTCGGCCCCAACCCAGCCAAGTCCATGCGGCAGGAGTACGGCGACCTGGCCTGCACCATCGAGGTGGTGGACTCGGTCGACGAGGCCGCCAGCCACATCAACGTCTTCGGCAGCTCCCACACCGACTCGATCGTCACCGAAGACGGTAGGTCTTTGATGAATGAGGAAAGTCTTCAATCTCCAATATAGGAAAGTTATGAGGGTTGTGGGCATCAAAACCGAAATTTGTTGTTAATGTGTAAAAGGCGAGTTACTGAGATAATGATTATAGAACCTACACAGAAACGTTTTGACTAATCTAAGATGAAATTGTCGTTATCAACAATATCGTGTCACAATTAGTACTCATTTAAATTCTAGAATTTGTGCGACGGATGCATACAAACAAGAACAAATGTCTGCAACATCACAAAATTGGAATTACAACATGTCATTGAAACATAATCTCAAGATCAGAATTAAACACTAATAATTATGGTTTATACATCACGACCACTTCGGTCAGGCCTCATCATCGCCTACTCACAAATCTACTTTGATGGGAAACATAACCATTTTTCAGTCGGAATCTACACTTCTGAACTACGACACAAAAAGTCGTCCTTTCAGCGCTTTCTTGAAAGGCCCAAATATATTAGAGTTCTGGGATAGGAGAAGTTATGGAGAAATCTCTGGGATATTTGAAGGATAGGTCATAACTTCCCATTTCATCCTACGAAGTACCGCTCTAGTCGCCTCGACGAAATGGGAACTGTCGTTATAATGTAGAAGGCAGCAGAGACCTTTCGTGACAACAACCTAGGTCTCTGTTCTTTATTCCGACACGGAAACTTTAGAGCGTTCGGAGATATCTATCGGTGTTTTTTTTTTGTAGTTGAATCCCCCTCTTACAATAAGATAAATCAGTTTCCAAAGCTTTCAGAAGAGACAAATACATTTTTAAGGTACCTCTACACCTGAAAGTATGCTTGCCTTGTCCTCTGGTGTCGTAATATTTGCACTGTGCAGCTGAGACGGCCGAGTACTTCTTGAAGGCTGTTGACAGCGCCTGTGTCTTCCACAACTGCAGCACCCGCTTCGCCGACGGCTACAGGTTCGGGCTAGGTAGGTGTACCGAGCTCGTGGGTGCCGCGGCGGGACAACAACCCGGGGTGTCGCAGGGGCCGAGGTGGGGATCAGCACCTCCCGCATCCACGCCAGGGGCCCTGTCGGCATCGAGGGGCTGCTGTCCACCAAGTGGGTGCTGAGGGGCGCGGGGCACACCGTGGGCCAGATGGTGGATTACCTGCACGAGACTCTGCCAACCTCGTAGCTAGGCCGCCCGCCGCTGACGGCCCGCAGTGCCGGCTCCCAGTCTGGCGGCGTCAACTCCGCATTTAAATCAATCATCTCTTTTTTAAAACTCTCTCTGTACAAATATTTCATTATTCGCGGATGTAAATAATGTTTATTATTATAATTTATTTTAGCTTTATGTGGCTGATTATATATTTCTCCCTCTTTATTCACCATTTGTTACAATTACAGTGCCTCAATGGACTATATCATATCCAAATAATTCAAATAGAGTTGTGTATTATTTTATTGTATCATCATTTCTGAATAAATGACACCACTTTTATATAGATATTTGACCTTGATCTCAGTCAATTTATTCATCCCTGAAGCGACAATACAAAGAAAGGATTGATGCAGAGCCAACCCAGATGACATGATTGTTGTGGCAATAAATACGCTCAAATGTTCCTAAACACCAATTCCAATGTATAAAGCCCGAGGTGTTCTGATGGCAAAAGAGATGATAAAGCTGGTCGTTAGCAGCTAATCCATGCCGCGTTCAAAAATTACTTCATAATCAGCGGCTGAAGGCAAGGGATCCCTGACAAAGGTTACCTAGACGGGATTTATGCAAATAAGTAAAAGGTATTAGAATCTAAAGTAAAGTAACTCAACACACATAAAGGCTTACACTCAAAAGAACAAAAAAAAATGGAGGTATAAATAAAAAAAAACACGATTATTTATAACAAGACCAATACTCATCTTTTATTGCAGCGCTGATAAAGAGCGGAACACATAGGTATGCGAGGAAATCACCAGACACGGACACAGAGAACGCTTTAAGCATTTCCACACAATCATAACTCGCAGACGTCTTCCCTTTGAACCCACTTTATACACAAACATGGCCACATTCGTCCAATGACGTAGGAGATCAGTTCAATTAACAAATAAACAGCATTCGTCATACATAACTGAAAAGCTTAAAACAGCTCATGTATTTTCCAAATAATTTGACTTCAAAATAATCACTCTCTGTTTAATAGATTTTTATAACAAAATTTTTATTGATCTACAAGAACCCCATGGCTTCTTCTCTTAAAGAATAGCTTATTATGAAATAGGTTGCACCTCTAGCGGTCCTTTTCTATAGAGAGACAATGTCACTCGGAGCTCAGTAACTCGTGCTGACTTGCGCTGACCGACACCTCCTCGAGAGTCCATCCTGAATTAATAAAAGCATGATTGAGTTGGCAGTCCTATTTGCCTGGGGTCCCTGGAGTTAGAAAGCTTGGAGTGGTTGGTAATAGCCTTATATTTGACGTCAGCAGGTTTCGGCTCTCAAGGAAGAAGTGATTTGTCTTCGAGCACCTATGATGAGGATAAATGGCCAACTGACCCCAAGTTGACCTGCGATGTGAATTCTCGACCTTCTACCAGAGACTGGTAGCGGTTTGTATTCGACCACTGTATGGAAGTTGTGTGGTTAAATGACCAGTTAGACCTGCGATGTGAATTCTCGACCTTCTACCAGAGACTGGTAGCGGTTTGTATTCGACCACTGTATGGAAGTTGTGTGGTTAAATGACCAGTTAGACCTGCGATGTGAAATTTCGGACTTCTACCAGAGAGTGACGGAATTTTATATTTGACCACCAATAGAAGTTGGATGGTTGAATGACCAAATTAGACCAGCGATGTTAAATCTCACCACGGAGAGTGACGGCGATTTGTCTCCGCAAAGCTTGATCTCAACGGCCCCAAGTGTGAAAGGCGCCAGTGGGAGTCGATGAGATTGGGAAGAGGGTGGGAGATGATCTTTCGGTCGCCTGAGCACCCTAACATCAGGGCACGTTAGGCCTCAGGTCTTTGTTTACTTTCTGAAGTTCGCTAGGTTGGACTACAGTAGTTGCCGACTGTAGCAGCGGAGTCCTTGGATCCACGTGGTAACTGGCTGTATGGCGGGCTGTGACATCTGTAAAAGACAGAATTATTAAACAAAATACTCAATAATAACAATTCAAAAAACATTTGTTATATAAACAATAAATATTCTAAAGGTTCAATATTATTGTGGACGTTTTGAATTAACCTCAAGCTTATTTCGATAAAGTGAGCCATCTAGAGAATGTTATTGAGATTTGAAAACCTGTTTATAACTGGTTTATATAGCTTCTTCACTAAATGGATGTAAGATCTCAACCGACTATATTAATTTTACTTGATCTCGTTCTATTTTATATCATATGACAGCAGAGTATTGGGGACACGAGATGACGACTGAGAGGAGTCTACATGGGTTTACAGACATCGATGTCCACTAAAGAAATGTGTTTGCAAATACATGACCAAGGACGGCAGTTTATCTTAACTGTCAGGAAAGATCGATGTAGGCGTAGCCTTCCTGGGGTCTCCGCTGGATAACTTAGTCTTCTGGAGCGAAATAATGATCGTGCAGCTTCTGTTCGAATCTATATGGGTAAGTGAACAGAGTGGGCAAAGGTGGAAATTCTACTAGCATGTATGATGAGGGAGGTAAGGGCTGATTACCGAGTTTCCATTGACACGGCCATGGCCAAAGGATGCAAGGGCTTTCTGGCCTCTATCATCCTCACTCCGTGCTCGGAGATAAACCTCTTGTCTGTTTGAGGAGAAATTCTCTGTCAAATTTTCATTACTTTATATAGATAGAGCAAGTTTATGGTTTTAAATAGCGCACTTGAAGCTTTTGGATTTTATTAATGAACGCGAGAAGTGTCCTAATTTATACCCATTATGTATTTCATACTAATTTGGAGAGACAGTCTTCCATCATACCAGCTATAAGAAATGCATTTACCTGCTGTTGAATTAACATGAAATAAAGGTTATGTCTATATTATAACATCATCATAGAAAATAATTATAGAATTTTGGGCGCCCTAATAAAATATTTTGTAAATGTTTGTGCGAAAAGTATCCTGATAACTTTATTCACAGCGATATATAAAAGTTGACACAATCTAGACTTCAGAGTGATCCACCCAGGGACACGGTGCCGTGACAGGAAGTCCCATACACTGGGCGCGGTGACCCCGTCCGGTGAACTCTCCCTCCCTGCCGCCGTCCATTCTGTAGCGGACACTTCACCATATCGGCCATATCAAATGAGATATCCTGAAAGATTGATTGCCATTGTTTTTATGACACTAAAATTTTAAAATACAAACGATAAAAAGACGAATAGGATGTAAAACTGCATATATTCCAACTTCAAACCTTGTTCTAGATGAATTCAGCTCCAGAGCGTTTCACCACTTTGGGATGTAGAGGTGACCAGACCTAGTGGCGTTCCTATCGCTATTAGCAGAGAGAACAACGGAGGGAGAAATTCAACACGGAATCATTTCTTACTTAAATAAAACAAAAACACTATTTTAAAGATTAATATCGTGTTAATTAACATACTTTATAATTCTACCAAATACATGATAAGTCAAGAAAAGCATCTCCAGAACCTGCAAATGAAAGTTGATGATGGATTTCGCTATCTGTCAGAATAAATAAAACTTTAATTTTTTAAAATTATTACAGAATGTTAGACAAATATATGGTCACTTGATTAATAAAGGAAATATATCCAGGCTCTACCTCGAAGACCAGTTACAATTAACTAGTTTGGTGCTACTCATCATTCAAAACTTATGGAAGGATTAGTAAGAATTAATTTTGGCAAAGGCTCCTTATATGTTTCTCCAATATGAACGGCGGAAATTACATAACCAATAACTTGTTGGACGTCGCAAACCCAATAGCTTCAGGAAAAGCTATTTTTAAGAAAATATGATTGAACCTCTTAGGAATTCCCAATTCAGAAAGTGGTGACAGATTGATTGTTGTCTACACAGACTTATTTTTAAATTCATATTTGCCATCACATACACAAAAATAATTAGGACAGCTGAAGCTAAATAATAACGAGATATTTTTTGTGGAAGCGTCATACATAATCATGGAACTCTCAGTGACATAAAAACGGAGGAAATATCAAATCAGAATGAAAAACACATCAACTTACCTGGAACAAAACTGGCTGTGACTGATGAAGCAGACATGCCCAACAATTACTAGGTAAGTAGTTGTGTGCAGGTTGTACTGGGGCCGCGCTTATGCACCTCAGCGACTTACCTTCAACAACGCCGGCTGTGGCTGATGAAGCAGACATGGCCAACAATTACTGGGTAGGTGTGCAGGTTGTAGTGGGGCCGCGCTGATGCACCTCAGCGACTTACCTTTAACAACGCCGGCTAATGAAGCAGACATAACCAACAATTACTGGGTAGGTGTGCAGGTTGTAGTGGGGCCACGCTAATGCACCTCAGCGACTTACCTTCAACAACGTCGGCTAATGAAGCAGACATGACCAACAATTACTGGGTAGGTGTGCAGGTTGTAGTGAGGCCGCGCTAATGCACCTCAGCGACTTACCTTCAACAACGCCGGCTGTAGGTAGGCATGACCAACAATTACTGGGTAGGTGTGCAGGTTGTAGTGAGGCCGCGCTAATGCACCTCAGCGACTTACCTTCAACAACGCCGGCTGTAGGTGGACATGACCAACAATTACTGGGTAGGTGTGCAGGTTGTACTGGGGCCGCGCTAATGCACCTCAGCGACTTACCTTCAACAACGCCGGCTAATGAAGCAGACATGACCAACAATTACTGGGTAGGTGTGAAGGTTGTAGTGAGGCCACGCTAATGCACCTCAGCGACTTACCTTCAACACGCCGGCTGTGGCTGATGAAGCAGACATGACCAACAATTACTGGGTAGATGTGCAGGTTGTAGTGAGGCCACGCTAATGCACCTCAGCGACTTACCTTCAACACATCGGCTGTAGGTGGACACGACCAACAACTTCTAGGTAAGTAGTTGTGTGCAGGTAAGAAGTTTGAGCCACTTTACCTGCGGCACTACTACTTAAAGAGAAGAGTGGTCTTCCGGAGCTTTAAAGGTTTTAAAAACTTGGCCGAAGAGAAACAGCATACCGTGCAGCTTCAACACGATGTCACAGTTTATCGACAGTAATAACTGGTGTGTTTCAACAAGCCATTTGCTCGGCAACCGTTGACCAGACGTTTCTATTGTTGACAGATTAGGAGAACGTGCTTGCCAGGGCACCAGCCGAACATTATCTTATGTAGGAAGGTCTGTACCATACTGTCAGCATTCAGTCGTTCATTATCCTGCTGCAATCTTAGTCGAACTCTTCGTGAAGGAATTTTTGATTTGCAAACGACCCCATTTCTAAACGATACATTAAGGCCATGCGGTAACATATCGTCTTCTCGGCTGTTAGTTATAGCATGCCCCTGAGACACAGTACCATCGTTCCGTATGACCACTGTCCTGAACCTACCGATTCCATATTCTGCTAACAGCCATGGGATCTCGACCGACGTGAGCAATACTGCGGTACAATAAACCGCAAATCCGGTTGGGGCTACAATTCTACCTCTCTCAAACTCAGAAACATATTAAAAGGCATTTCTCTTTCTTACACGAGGCATCACAACAACCTTTTACAGCGAAGTGCATTTTTAATGAAATTTCTTTGCACAATTTATTCTGTTCAACACATTGTAGGTATCGCTACCGGCGCCTATATAGGATAAATGCGTTAAAGATCTAATCATTCTCATATCACAGCAGCTTCCTATTGTGTAGATTTCACGCCTGTAGCATCTTGGCTTCAGATTTAGAATGTTTGGATAAGTAGTGAATTATATATTTCATTTATTTACCTAATTTCAATTGTCAAAAATATTTTCATACACCCACAATGAATATATTTTTATTTAATAATGGATTCTGAAAAATTGATGAGGTTTTCTACCGAAAAAAAAAATAATAAAGAATTCTATTGTACGATAATAACGTAGTAACCGATACCTGGTAGACAATATTGTGTGTCTTGGATGGTATATATTCTTATTGATTTCTCTTTATAATAAGTCATATATAGGGCTGTGTCATATTTAGTCAAAATATATCTTGTCTAATAGAGAGGCCCATGCATAAGAAATCTAATAGAGATTCCTTAAATGTTCATTATTATAAAATGGCGACCCTCCCATGTTTGTGTCGATCAATTACACAAAGTGAATCCTCTGCTGCTGTGATGGAGATGCCTGGAGACATCTGAGACTCTTCTTTGGACACGACAACAACAATCCTCTCTGTGAAGAAACTAAGCTGAAAGAAAGAAGTGAACTCACGTGCAGGCTCCACGGACGGAATTGACGCGACATCCGGAGGAAACTCCAGCCTTAGACCTGCTGCCAATTATCAGCACAAGAAAATGACGATTTCAAGACAGTTTAGAACGCCAATTTTGATCATATTTGAATTTTGAGCAAATCTAAGTGCTGGAATGCTAGAATGTCTGCCACACAAGGTAAGATTCCAATCTGGTGCCCATAGCCATTTCTCGAGAAGAATTTGAAGAAATAAATCTGTTATATTATCAGTGAATTGAGATGGCCAATGATTTTGATTTTTTTCGCGCAAGCCTCCACTTTTTTTATTAGGCTATCGGGCCGAATTCAATTCAGCCTACTTCGATCAGAGTATGGTTGAAATAGTTTTGAATTTTGCGCGAAAGAATGAAATTTGTTCTCAAAAGAAGTTCCATTATGTCTTCAAATACAAATAGTAATGTAGTTCCTTCGTGCCATCTCGCAGACCACGTACGTCAGGATCTGCATCATTATCATCAATGGAAGAAAAGCCTATTCAACGTATTCAGTCATCCACATCGATAATTCAGCCTTCTTAAAAATTCTGCACGTGGAAATTATCTTCATTCCTTTCTTAAATTTGACAGAAATCTTGACACCTTATAAAAAGGTTATAGGTAAACATTCTATATTGCAAAGTCAATCTAGTTATTGTCTCTCTTTCAAAAAGAGTAAGTTTTATTTATATATTGACTCAATCGTCTTGGATATTTCAACAATGGTGATGTATCTTTGGTATGAGTCAATATTTGCCATTTTGATCAAAACGTGGCACGTTGGCTCTGTCTTTGGTAGATCTCCAGGTTCCAAAATGTTTCAAATGAGTATCTTCAACTTCATTAATGGACAAACGTTGAGTTTCAAATTGATTTCGGTCGGAGGTGAGGCACGGAAGGGACGGTGGGACATAATGGACCCCGGAAGGACGTCCGGGGCACACCGCCGGTCTATTATGTCTATGGTCGTCCCTCAGATGGCGATGTGGATATCAGGGACAACTGGACTCTTCGAATTTTCTGTCTCTTTTTAAGGGTATATATGATTTGTTACATTTTTCATTTTATTTACTATTTAGGGGGATTTTTTTTCAATAAAAGAGGAAAGCAATAAGCTATTGTTTCAACAATTTTTCTTTATTCGGATGAATATGTAAAGAAATTATAGTGGAAATATTTATGATAAAATATGATAAGGCACAATTTGGATTATAGATTATAAACACAAGGTAATAAGACCAAATCCAAATAAATAAACAGCACTTTTGTCTGAAGATGGTAACAACGCTGTTACCGAAACGTCACACATTATTTATTTATTTGAATTTGTTCGTATTACCTTGTGTTTATGATAAAATATATTATGAACGAAGTAAATTGGTTTCATCGCTCGCAAATATTTACAAGCATTAAATATTTTTCCATATATGCAATTAAAATAAATAATGTTTGGGTAAATATTTCTGCGCGAAGGAATACAAGAGAATAAAGGTGAATTTATATCTCTATGAAGACTTTTGTCTGAGAAAACATGTGAGACTTTATTACACTCCTTGTGACATTAAAGGTTACTACAGTGTCAACGTCCCTGAGTGACTTAGTATGATATTCCTATCAAATATGAAGACAACTGGTAGTCGTTAAGCCATTGGAAGGTAAATATACATTCAATATATATCATATCATATCCAATATATATCAAATACATCCAATATATGCCTTTTTATTTAAAGATTTATTTATGGATTGCTCTATTTTCAAAATTTGGAATATATATTTCATAATAATTTTATGGTATTGAAGTGGTAGCATCTTTATTGTTGGGTCAACAAGAATGTTTTCAAGATATTTTTTTTTATAAGAAAAAATGATTGCCATCAATTATCGCCGCTAATGTTGTGGAAGTTTGGGGCTCAGGAGATCTCCGAATGGCTTCTCTGTGCCGACTCAAACTACCAGTTTGTGAAGTATACTACATCACACTGGCTGAAGCGAGGGAAATCGCCAATTACTTTGTAGGGTCCATGCTATATCCACAACTACCAATTCCCGCCGCATCACACTGACTGAAGCGGGGCTAGTGAAATCGCCAATTACTTTGTAGAGTCCATGCTATATCCACAACTACCAATTCCCGCCGCATCACACTGGCTGAAGCGGGGCTAGTGAAATCGCCAATTACTTTGTAGAGTCCATGCTATATCCACAACTACCAATTCCCGCCGCATCACACTGACTGAAGCGGGGCTAGTGAAATCGCCAATTACTTTGTAGGGTCCATGCTATATCCACAACTACCAATTCCCGCCGCATCACACTGACTGAAGCGGGGCTAGTGAAATCGCCAATTACTTTGTAGGGTCCATGCTATATCTGCTACTACCAATCCCCGCCGCATCACACTGACTGAAGCGGGGCTAGTGAAATCGCCAATTACTTTGTAGAGTCCATGCTATATCTGCTACTACCAATCCCCGCCGCATCACACTGACTGAAGCGGGGCTAGTGAAATCGACAATTACTTTGTAGGGTCCATGCTATATCTGCTACTACCAATCCCCGCCGCATCACACTGACTGAAGCGGGGCTAGTGAAATCGCCAACATGTGTCTATCTTCTCAAACCACTACTTGATACGTTCCATGTTAGATATTTGATGACTAAGGATTAACAGAAAGTAGGCTTTCGGCGCACACCCTATAAAATACTTTAAAAAACATATTTACGGAACCATAATTGAAGAGAAGATTTTTGTTTTCCTGGACGTGAGTAACGTCCATCGTTGTGAAGGAAGGGACAATTGAGAGAAAGCCTTCCCATATGAGTTCGATTTGACCGAGTGAAAATTTTCACTTCAGATGTGCAAATAAGCCTCTTTAAAACTAATAAGCCAAATTTGTTTCGAATAATATTTGTACATACGTATATATAACTAACACAATGTACATGTAACATAAAGGAGGATAATATTCAGGTACCAAAAAGGCGCCTTTTAATTGTACATAAAAAACGATGCACTTGCTCATCACCCTAACAGAAACTTTACTAGTGATGCTGGAAAATGAACCACAATACAAGTATTGTCAAATTCAATCAAAAAGACAACCTGTATACCACGGTTACGGGCTTTGACCCTCATTAGCACAGCTCAAAATCGCCATTGCCACCTCACCACTTTGTCCAGGTTGGGCTCAGTGGAGTGGAGGACCCGCTCATCGCCTGGACGAGGACCCTCGTACGCAGGGAATGCCTTCCTTCATCCTCCATCATTTAGTTTTCTTTTGAATATATTTTTCAATTTCTTTTCTTTAAACTGTTTTTTTTTTGCAACCGCTTTTGTTGAGCTTGTGAATTTTGTCGAGATGACAATAAATATGTTTTAATTGTCAATTGTCACCTCACCAGTTTAAACACCTGTTTGGTAAATTCGATCGATTTCATAACTTCTCTCGAAGGGTGCTACGAAATCGAAGCCGCCCCTGTACTGATGAGGGCGAGAGTCCGTAACCATGATATACAGTTCGACCTTTTACCTGAATTTGCCAGAACTGGTGTTGTCGCTCATTCTTCATTATCACTAATGAATTTTTCACTTGGGTGATGAGCAAGTACATCGTTCTGACGTACAATCAAAAGGAGAGGTGCCTCTTCTGAACACAAACTTCTTAATATCTACAGAGGTACAACCCCTATGTTGTGTGGTACACGATCTGTCTACCCGTGAAAGGAAAGAGTATAAAGGCGAATCCAAGGAATGCAGTCAATAGCCCGAATAACGCGATATTTTGGCCGCGCCATCCGATGCCGCCCACGGATCCTGTCAGCTCAGTTTACCTCCGGGCTGGCTGGCCTTCTATTTGTGGGCGCTCTGTGGAGGATGTGGGCCTCAACAGATTCCAATCTATAGTAGTACTCATATTGTACTGATATCTTGTAATTGATAAAACTGGTAAAGTTTTATATCCTCACGTTATCATGGAGTTTACTTTAGTTTTTAATAAAGGCGATAAAATGTGAAAACAATGGGTATACTTCTTTTAGAAAAAAAAAACATATTGTACACATCTCTATTTGCGGTTTCCAATTTAATCCTCTTTTTAACTGTTCTAAACGTTAGAGAACATCAACATGCTGAAAATGCTCTTTCTGGAAATAGTGAGCTCACTTGATGAAAAGTGGATTCTGCCTTTCGGATCTGCTCAATAGGTTTAAACACTTTCTAAATACATAGCTCAAATATCTTCATTGAGAGAATCCATATTTATAAAAGTTAGGATCCTTGATTCATTCAACGAACAAATTTAATACATGTTCATCCCTTTTTCTATGAAAAATAGACACTTCGGCCAGTTAGAATTTTTTATTTTCTCAGCGTTTCGACAAAAATCTTTTGTCTTCGTCAGTAGAAGTAAATAAAGCATTTGGCAAGGCGTCAAAATTGCTCTAACTTCTACCTTTACGATATTTATCCCAGCCGTTACAATTTAACAAAATCAACAAACCATCCAGGGCAAAGTTTCTTTAATTATTTTAAAATTTCTTTAGATTTCTGGCCAGCATGTCCTTTAACAAGAGAACAAGAAGCATGACTTCCAGCGGCGTGTATAGTTAGCTGGAAGTCCAACTTTTAGATCTCCTGTTGAAGGACATGTTGGCCCCCGAAAGCTAGAGAAATAATAAAAAAAAAGGTTTGAAGAAACCTGGCCCTTGATTGTTTGTTGATTTTGTTAAATAATTTTAAATATGCATTATTAAATTCCCCATTTAAATGAATATTATCAAATTATGTTAATTAAACTACAGGGTATTTATATAAAGACAAGAGAATTGCTACATGAACTATCACAAAGGCTGGTAAAGATTCACTTGATGATTATAGCGGCACTTTCTTAACTCAAAATGTTGGATAAACGGCTCATTGAGTTTGTTTATACGCTAAGTTAGAACAATGTTGTTCTTTGGTATTTATATTAACATTCGAAATTGAAAAAAAGAAGAATATTGGTTTGTTAATAATCAAATGAAATATTCAAGAAGTGTTTTTGTTTCCACGAAGCTCCGAGTCAAATGGGTAGAAAGATACGTGCCTATCTCAGCCCTGGCTACGTGATGGTCCTGCTTGATACAATTGGTATGCTGGGGATAGGTCCGTGTCAATCTGTGAGATATTCCACGGCTGTCACTTCCTCCACACCCGCGCCATATCGCGGCGTTAGTTGACGCCAGGAGTCTACATCCTCTGTGTGTGACTGAAGATTTCTCCCACATATACCATTTACTACGTGAGGTCTGGAAAGTCAGCAAATATTTACTAGACCGAGACGATCTAAGTATTCCAAACAATAAGGATATCACAATAAATACTGGACGTCTGTCTTTATTAAATTTTAAAAGGTTTAATGAACTACAATTTATATGAAAAGAATTGATAGTAGGATCAATTTGGAATTTTAATTTCCTCATGTCTCATAGATTTTATTTATTTTTTTCACTCTTTATATGGTTATTCTCTCTCCATACACAATAGAGAATAGGTTTCTGATTTATTAATAAAAAAGAACATTTTATAAACTCATATACCGCAACATGGAAGAACTTCTAAAAGACGGAATTGTAGTGCGCGCCTTCCTGGAGGTTGAAGTCGTCGGTCCAGGTTTTCCGAATATTTAGAAAGATAGTACTTTGGAATTCTTCTTTTTACTTCTATCACGTATTCTCAAAGGTTCGTCTTTAGACTACTGGTAGATATTAATAATATACCAGATCGAATCAAGTCACAACATGGTAGAATTTAGCAATATACCAGATCGAATTATGTTACAACACACATGATAGCAATTAACAATATTCCAGATGGAATCACACCACAACATGGCAAGAGTTAACAATATACCAGAGATAGAATCGTGTCACAACATGGTAGAAGTTAACAATATATCAGATAGAATCACACCACAAGACATGGTAGAAGTTAGCAATATACCAGAGATAGAATCACATCACAACACATGGTAGAAGTTAACAATATACCTGATAGAATCACACCACAACACATGGTAGAAGTTAACAATATATCAGATAGAATCACACCACAACACATGGTAGAAGTTAACAATATACCAGAGATAGAATCGTGTCACAACATGGTAGAAGTTAACAATATATCAGATAGAATCACACCACAACACATGGTAGAAGTTAGCAATATACCAGAGATAGAATCACACCACAACACATGGTAGAAGTTAACAATATATCAGATAGAATCACACCACAACACATGGTAGAAGTTAACAATATACCAGAGATAGAATCACATCACAACACATGGTAGAAGTTAACAATATATCAGATAGAATCACACCACAACACATGGTAGAAGTTAACAATATACCAGATAGAATCACACCACAACACATGGTAGAAGTTAACAATATACCAGAGATAGAATCACACCACAACACATGATAGAAGTTAACAATATACCAGAGATAGAATCGTGTCACAACATGGTAGAAGTTAACAATATATCAGATAGAATCACACCACAACACATGGTAGAAGTTAACAATATATCAGATAGAATCACACCACAACACATGGTAGAAGTTAACAATATACCAGAGATAGAATCACATCACAACACATGGTAGAAGTTAACAATATATCAGATAGAATCACACCACAACACATGGTAGAAGTTAACAATATAACAGAGATAGAATCACTCCACAACACATGGTAGAAGTTAACAATATACCAGATAGAATCACACCACAACACATGGTAGAAGTTAACAATATACCATATAGAATCACACCACAACACATGGTAGAAGTTATCAATATACCAGAGATAGAATCACACCACAACACATGGTAGAAGTTAACAATATACCAGATAGAATCACACCACAACACATGGTAGAAGTTAACAATATACCAGAGATAGAATCACACCACAACATGGTAGAAGTTAACAATATACCAGAGATAGAATCACACCACAACACATGGTAGAAGTTAACAATATACCAGATAGAATCACACCACAACACATGGTAGAAGTTAACAATATACCAGAGATAGAATCACACCACAACATGGTAGAAGTTAACAATATACCAGATATAGAGTCACATCACAACACATGGTAGAAGTTAACAATATACCAGATAGAATCACACCACAACACATGGTAGAAGTTAACAATATACCAGAGATAGAATCACACCACAACATGGTAGAAGTTCATGGTAAACGTTTTGCGGATTTCGACAAATTAGAAAGAAGGAATCATATATCGCCGCAACTCTTTTTTATTATTAACGCGATTAAAAGCTTTCGGGCAAGCCCTTCTTCAGCTAATTATAGTGTACAAACAAGGAGAGATTATATATCGTATTTAAAATAAAATAAAAGAAAAGAAAATTACCACGCCCCTATCGCCCTTGTTTCAATAGCACCGCGTGGCCACGTCATGTCTGATCCTAACTTCAAATATAATATGGTACAAAAATATCTTAAAAGAAATTTACGTAATTGAATAAATATAAAGAATCAATTATAAACAGTTCAAAGGATTTAGTGGAGACTTTTGAAGATTTTTAGGATAGAAGGGGAACGTACTGTGATGGCAACTGTATACTTTTGTTTAATGGTTTAGGGTGCTTCATCAAAAATAGAATACAATAATGAACTT